TGATTCACTTGTTGTTAAAGACAAAACTGCTTTTGCTATTAATATGTGAGCCTCCAGCAGTGTAGTTTGCTCTATTGCAGGAATGGGCAACTCCAGGCCTCAAGGGCCGGTGTCCTGCTGGTTTTTAGATGTGTCCTTGATCCAACACAGCTGATTCAAATGCTAAATGACCTCCTCAACATGTCTTGAAGTTCTCCAGAGGCCTGGTAATGAACTAATCATTTGATTCAGGTGGGTTGACCCAGGATGTTATCTAGATAAGATTCTGGATTAAATCCAGCCTGTGGAGGTTACATGTTCACTCTGAGTACTCTGACTTCTTCTCACAGTCAAAAAAAACATGCATGGGGTTAGGCTAACTGGTGGTTCTAAATGGACCAAAGGTGCGAATGGTTATCTGTACACAGTATTAATAGGCAGGAGACAGACATTTGAACTTTGTCATAAATCCCACACACTTAACAACTACAGTAGCACTGCTGTAATAACCATTTTAACATCCTTGAACTTGAACATTGGCCTAAAATCATTCCTCTCTACAGCAGTGTCAATTATCACAGCAGTTTGTTGTTGTTACAGTCCAGCTGAGTCTCCTAATTTCATGGGTATGGAAGTCCGTGCATTTAAAATTGTAACAGACTGAATTCCCAAACGGTTGTCTGGTTTGGTTTGGTGTTGATTTTTGGTAGAATTTTCCATGTACCACCTTTGACTAGTTGTCGGTCCCTCTTGTGTCAGCCATGAAAACATGGCTTTTCTATGCTTGTTAAGACTCCTAGAAGTTGCACAGAAATCACAACATATTTTTAAAAAACTGTGTCTTACCTCGAGTGCCAACAGGATCTCGGGGTTGGTCTTGTTCTCCATGGACTTTGAGTCCAGAGTCGAGCTGAGTCTCTCCAGAGATTCTGACAACCTTTCTGCATCCAATTGGAACTGCATTGAACAGTCAGCTGTTAGCAGCAGGCTCTTCGTCAACTGGAAACTTTTAATTTTCCTCACAGCTCTTTACCTTTTTGTAGTTGTCAATATTGTCCAGGTGTACTTCCTGTGCCAGACACAGGTTGAGAAAGGCTTGCCATTCAGCTTGTACCGTATCTCTGTGTGCCTGACAAAAACATCAACGATCAAGTTTAATTAATGCTACAACCATACAGCCATACGGGACAGTAGGATGATTTATCACAGATGTAAAATGTACTTTTATGGTTGGGCTGCCGGGGTGTTTCATCTTAATGAGGTTATCTCCTTCCTCCTGCAGCTGGTTGACTTCTTGCTCGTGTGCTAACAGTCCGTTAGCTTTGAATTTCTGTGCAAAAATGAAACGTGCAAGTGCTCAATTCAAAGTTCCCTTTGCACCGATAAAATCACAAACAGAGACTTTAACTAATGATAATCACTCAGCATGCGTGATGCTGGATTCTCACCTCATACTCCATGCGGACGCTCGGCGGGTCAACCATGTGATCACTCCAGTCTCTCTGGAGGATCCTACTCTGCTGGTTCGACAGGTAGATCAGCTCCTTGCTGCAGCTTTGCATGTACTCGTATAAAGAAGCCAGGTGGTTGCGCCGTCGCTCGGAGCTCTCCTGCAGAACACGCAAGGTGCAAACAACATATGAAGACCACACACAACACTCCTCAAGTTTAACTCCAAGTGGCAAATTTACTAATTAAATCGACTTACAAAAAGTTCAGCATATTTCTCTTTGACGGCAGCGTACTGCTCCTGTGAACAAATAAGAAGCACGTTGATGATCCATCCTGCACGCAGGAACTGTACATACATGTGAAGCTTTGCTCTGCTACCT